GGGTCGTTCGCTGTATTATAGTAGCTTTGATTTCATGGTCAATTCTAATTCGCCGTGTCGTGGGTTCGACCGTAGACGACAAACACGTATGTGTTCCACAAATATTTTCTACGAGCCCGAAGGTATTCTGTAACCGTGATTTCTACTTTTTTTTACGGAAGAAAAGCGGGTCACCTGATGGTAAGCCATCACCACCGCCCAACGACACTTGCAACATTGCACTTAGTATCACGGGAATTAATCCTTAGTGCGGGAGACAAACAATTAAAAATAAAATAAAATACGAAAAAATAGCAAATGCATTCTCCCGCCGGACGCCTAATACTTGCATGCTTCGTGCTTCTGAAAGTTATTATAACTTTTTGTCGCTGTAATCCAGCGGAAGAGCGCGTCCCGGCAACTGGATATAACTCGTTTAGAAACTGGAATGAAACGCTGATTCTCTTTGACAACCGAAATCGCCTTGAGTTATGTGAGGTTGAGGGTACCTCTCCGCCCGAGTATACTATGAAAGTATCTTATTTGAGGTTATGTTACTTTTCTGAAATTTGTTTTACCAGTATAAATACGGATAGGTGGTTAGAACGAATGCCTAACTATAATTTGATATATATTGACTATTAGTTGATATATATCATAATATAAAAAAATCAATGTAATAATGTATTCATTAGATTGATTTTTTTATATAATTGCAATGCAATCAAGTTGTTGAAAAGGCGCACCAATGTATCCAAGCGAGATTGAGATATGTCCAGGGAGCTGCATAGTGAATAATAGGAAAAAATACGCTTAGCTTTAAGGGTGGTAAACTTTTAGGGCGGTAGACGGAACGTATTTGTATTATATTGTAATTGTAGTAGTTCTAAGTCTCAACGACCACTACGACCTAGTAGATCTATTCTTTCCTTCGATAAAAATGCTCCTTACTTTAGGGTATCCTACAGTATGTTGTATCCTGTGTTGTAAGAATGTTTTACATACATACATTTCACGTGGACAAACACCCAGATCCGAAATAATTATCCGTTGCTCACAGTTGTCTCGTGTGGGAATGGAAATCGAATCCATGACTCCGAAACCAATACTTTGGCACCACGGAGTCATAACTAGGGAACGTAAGATTTCTATAACTTTCCAGCTAACATCAGCAACCAATGTTTTCCAACTCAACGAATGACCGAAATGCCAACTAAAATTTTTGACCCATTCAGAGAATCAAATACAAGTTAAACTGGGACAAGGCTACCATAATCAATCCTGGCAAGCATCTTTGGGCCACCAATTATGATCGCTTTGCATTTAAATGGATTAATAATAATCCGTGCGACCAAAATCTCTAAGGAATTCAAGACAATCAATAACATTCATTATTAATAAGCTGTTATTGAGATCCTTTGTGTCTACTTGGATATAAAGTTAAATATATAAGTAAAGTAAAGTATCAGCCTATACATGTCCCACTGCTGGGCAAAGGCCTCCTTTGTACAGACAGTATCATGACACAGACAGGGCATAGTCCACCACGCGGCCCCACTGCGGATTGGCGGACTTGAAATATCTTCGAAATATTTTTTTATTATTATTTCGAAAATATGCAGATGTTTGTACACGCTGAGCACGTGATAATTCAGCACTTGAAATTAACAATTTCATTGGTGCCGGCACCGGGGATCGAACTCAGGTTGCTCGAGTATATTGAATTAAAGGCGAGCGCCCGGACACTGAGCTATCACGGGTCAGTAAACGTTAAATATATAAACATTTAACAAATAAGTTGATAGAAAAGAGAGATTGACAATTTAACTACCATACAAGTTTAAACTAAATTATATTAATTTAAACAATCATCGAAAAATTACTAAAAAAAAAAACAAGCAACAGCGTTGAATTCGTGACATTATGAAAATTAATATTTTATCTGTGACCATGTCAACGTTCTACTCGACAGAGTTCACTTGTTGACCTAGTTTTATCTGGACCATTCGTGTAAAATTCTGCTAAGTCATGTCTCCTGCACCATTTTATAACGGAGGAAAATTGTTATTATTCGTATAAGAATAAGTTTTTTAAAAAACAAATATGTTATATGTAAAATAAAATTATTAATAAAATACATTCGATTTTGAAATTGATCAAAACAATACAATTGTGTTGAGCTAAGCTGATTTAAAACCGAAATTTCAAAAATGTATATCGTTGAAATGAATTAAGACTATAGAAAAACTTGAAAGAAAAATACTATAGACAAGAGAAAAACTTTCAAAAGACTAGAAAAATAATTATGATCTCAAATTTTTACTTACATACAACAACAAGAAATATTTCCAAACACATATTGAAAAATTCATTCAATTTTCGCGCTATGATTTGTACGAGAAAAAAAATCTGCACTCCTATTTTTCCGGCCATCGCTCACTCCGAAAGCGTGTCAACGCCATTGGCGCGCTTTTTGACGTTATTGATGACAATGTATTCCGAGCAGCCATCTTGGGCTCATCTCATTGCATATTCGGCGGGCTAACCCTACGTAATACCCGCATAATAGCCATCTTGCCGTGACAGATTGATTGAATGCACCACGAATCAACGTCTGTGTAACACATTTGGAATATTCGAAACCCCATTCACACGACAATGCCTTTAATCATATTGTTTTCATACATTCAACATATCTTATTATAGAAACAAGATTACTTACTTTACAATAAATCAATTTCAAAAAATGCAACCAATAAAAAATCCCACTAACGTCGGTTAAAAGTTAATTTAAAAAATCAAATATTATATTATTTGATTTTTGGCTACGGTTAAAATTTTACTAAAGTTGCAATATATTATTGAATAAAAACAACTGTCACTTACAGATGTTTGTCTATGTTTTATCTGAGTTTGTAAAACATCACTTCGCCACAGGATAATTTTGTCTTTCTGTCGAGATAATATAACGTTTTATTAAATAACGCACAAGGACAACAAATATACAATTCGAATGGTTTTAAAATTCATTAATTGTTGTTGCTTTATTTGGTAGAATACATTTTAAATGCTCATCCAATAGTATCAACAAGAAATTTACAATTTAATAAATATAAATTTCAGTTCAGAGGTAAAGTTACAGAAAATATGGAGGTAGTGTGTGGCGTACCCATTCATGTGGTAAATAAGGAATAAAAACTGGTATAATTTATGATCAATGTCAATTAAGGGTTTTGAAGCACTTTTCAAATCAAACTAGGTTCCACAGATTTAAAAATGTCCAGGAAAAGCCGATCTTTCTTATCACAGTCAAATATTCATTCGCTTATATAACAGAGGGTAGTAAGTATAAAACGGTCGTTACTTGGGCGATTCAAATTGCAATGGTGGCCGTGACTTACGTCTTGATTGATGAATCCCCTCAGATTCAATTATCGTCTCGAGTCGGATTCCCAACGTTCGGGGACACCTGCCACCTTGACTGATAGCTTGCGTTTGATATAGAAGATTGAAATTTACACCGCCTACCGGCCGCGTACATCGCTTCCTTTTTAGGGTTCCGTACCTAAAGGGTGAAACGGGACCCTATTACTAGGACTGCGCTGTCTGCTTCTCTGTCTGCCTGTCTGTCTGTCTGTATATTCATCTGTCACCAAGTATCTCACGAACCGTGATAGTTAGACAGTAGAAATTTTCACAGATTGTGTATATGTGTTGCCACTAAAACAACAAATGCTAAAAACAGAATAAAAAATATTTAAGTGGAGTGATACGAAATCCCGTGATTTTTTTGTCGTTTTTAAAGAAAATGTATGGAATGCTTCGTGTGCGAGTCCATCTCGCTTTTGTTTTTTTTTTAATTGTTCGTCCATACACATTACTAAATAAAACAATAATAAAGATAATAACAATAATCGAAACCAATAATGAACGGATTTTACTGCGTTCTATTTAAACTTAACGTTCGCGGCATGGGAACGTATTTAGATTTTTTTATGTGAAAAGCCGTCAGACGGTTCACCTGATGTTCAATGATTACATGGAAATATACAAACTCTATGGCTTGCTGATTTGTTGAACACCATTAAAATGTGGCCCCCGGTTACCTCACTCACCAGACGAACCGCGAAAGTTTAATACTTCCACTTCAAGCTGGTGGTGGTGGGGCCGTGGTACTTCCCCGGACGAGCCGGCCCATTCGTGTTTCAGCGGAAGCTTATGCGTGGCCCTACCATAGTTAATGATAGATATGATTCTCTTTGTAAGAAGTTAAGTTAAAAATCAATGCACTCACTCACAAATTTTCCTAAAAGATCACATCGATATTTAACCCGAAATAGACATAACCTCGAACTGCCAACATGTAGAACCGGTGTGTAGGAAAAAAAAGTATTCGATTTGTGGGGGCGCAACTATACAAATAATTGCCTGAGGCTATTAAAGGATGTAAAACCATTGCATTGTTCAAAAACGCCTAATAAAACAATTACTAACTGCTTAGATTTATAAACACTGATACCCGTCTGAGACTGTTGTTTGTGTCATACATATATTTAAGACTTCTGCTATATGTTTACCATGTTGAAGTAAGTGAATTATGTAATGTGCTTTTTGTGATAAATAAATGACTTTAACCTGAAGATATTTGAGTTCGATATTTGTTACTTTCACCTATGGAACTATAATTAAAAATGTTATTTAGATGACGTTTTCGGGTGAAAACGCGTTCGTTAAACCCATTGTGAAATCATTTTGTAAAGTGAAACAATATCATAAAATCCAACCTGTAACCGTGGTATAAGCAAACTTAAATGCATTCAAAATCGCATCCACGCTGAGTCGCATTTCGATAAACATTTGTAACCAATAAATTCAACTATTTGATCACGTCGCACTTAGAAGCTGCCGAATAAACAGCCGAACAGCTTTATATGATAGAAATGTTTGCCGTGTAGACAAATACGCCGCCATCTTTGTTGGGAATTGTGACGTAAGCGGGCAAGCTAATTTCGGTGTATTACCTTAAACCACGCCATCGTAGAGTCGTCGTAGAGTACCACCCATTCCTCCGACCAAGAATTCCACAGGTATTTCCCTGAAATAAACAAATTTATTTGTAGACTAAATGTATTTTTAACTGAGGATAAGCGATTTACAGGAACCCTTTTTCTATGGTTGGGCCACAAAACAGTGTTCGCTATTGCACGAATGGGCAGGTCCGTCCGGGTTAGTACCACGACCTCACAGAAGACCGGTGTGAAGTAGAAGTGTTACACTTCTGTGTTTCGCCTGTGAGTGAGGTAGCCGGGGCCAAACTTAATAAAAGGTGTCAACGTATATGCAACCCTACGGGTGTTGCAAATTTCCATTATCGGCGGTTATCACGTAACATCAGGTGAACCGACAGCTCGTTTGCCACTTTGGAAAACCAGGAGGCCAATTGCGTTGAACCATTAAGAAGGTGAAGCTGGTTAACTCGACCATGAGAAGTAACAATAGTTTGATTAGTCTCCTCTGGCACCTTGGTACTTCTCTGGACTTACTAATGCGCATCTGCATGAAGTTGCAGGCTCAAATCCATGCTGTTTTTCGGATTCTTTACATAAAAAATCCCGTTTCAAGACGAAACTTAAGTACAAAATTAAAATATTTATGTTTTCACTTCCAAAGAACTCGTTACATCCAGGTAAGTTTCAAGAAACCAATATTTAAATTAACATTAATTAATTAAAAAAACTATCTTATATTAGGAATGTTTTTAATATGGTTTTATCACACAATTCGAATGCACGAAATTAATGAAGCGGACATTACACAGTCAGTGATTGATGATTCCCGCGCTTTTCTATTATCTGTGGACCGCAATCGAACTTCGCGCGCCCGGATAGTTGTAATGGAGCCGTGGAAACCAATCGGATAGTCGATACACGATTGGATGCCTCGGGACCGAACGCGCATTAATATTTATAAGTGTTTTTATAATTTACGAGTACGCAATGAGTGCTTCGTAAATGTTTCGTAAACCAACTTTTTAAAGCGGAAAAACGTAAAATGAAAAGTTAATCTATGGAGTGCTACTGATTTTTTTATTTTCTATAAAATGTTTACTTTTTTAATAATAAGTCAGTAAGTAGACGTAAGAGCTTTAGCTAAGATTATTAAAGAAGAGTTATTATAACATATACGTATACTTAAGAGTTAAAAAGCAACAGAAATAGAACAAAGTTATTCTAGCATAATTATACGATTTTAAGCAACATAAAGAAAACGAATTCGTTGAGATTATCATCGGTACGACAGTCAGCCGTTTAGCTCGGTGGGTAGCGTCTACGCGCGAATCCGGAACCCTGTAATCGAAATGCTTTTACAAATTTAAAAAAAAAAGAAGTCTACAATACGTTCGATTTAAAAAGTATCAAACGCACGGAGTACTGGCGGCAGAACAGTCGCAATCGACTCCGATAAACAGTCGAGAGCATCATAGAAACGTAACGCGCGGCATCCAGTATCGGAGTGCCAACTTTATTGCCCCAGTGTTCGGTCGTAACGCGCGAGTGGCCGTTCGATTGCCCCGTAGTACGTATTTCATTGGGGCCGTTACACGCACGCGGCGCTACGGCCCCGATTACATCGGGCCGTGAGTAGGCGGCTTTATTGCGGTGCGCGGAGTGCCCCGTGAAGTCGACGCTTGGATCGCGCATTAGCATCATGATTTCAATCCTTAAAGACAAATCAATCAAATCATTTATTCATCGAAATAAGAAACATAATTTTCGTCTATCGAAAGTCATTTTTTTAATCTACCACCGTTTCGCAATATAATAATAATATATAATAATAATAATAATAATAATAATAATAATAATATAATAATATAATAAAATATCTTTATTCACATAGACGCTTGCGCGTTCTTATGAAACGTCAAAATTTTACAAGAAATTAACACGTTCGTAAGTTACCACCGGTTCGGAAAGCAGTTTCTGTTGAGAAGAAACCGACAAGAAACTCAACAGTTGCTCTTTTAAAAAAAAAAAAAAAAAAAGTCAGTTTACAATATAATAGTACAGGTACAATAGTCTTGTTTTAGCCTACGTGAGTATCAACAGTATTAACCCCACACATTGGCGTCGTCAAGATATTCGGCAATAGTATAATAGGCTTTAGCCATAAGTGTACTTTTAATTTTTCGTTTAAATTCATCAAGTGGCAGACTTAACATCGACTGTGGGATTTTATTATACATGCGCACACTTTGCCCCATGAACGATCTGTTTACTTTTTGTAGGCGAAATAATGGCGTAGTTAGTTTGTCCTTATTTCTAGTATTTAGTTTATGTCTGTCACTATTCTTTTGATAATTATTAATATTCTGTTTAACATACAAAATATTACAATAAATATATTGAGACGCAACAGTGAGTATATTAATCTCTATAAAAAGATCTCTGAGTGTATTCCGGGCTCCGATGTTATAAATTGCTCGGACAGCTCTTTTTTTAATAATAAATATTGAATTTATATCAGATGCACTACCCCACAACAAAATGCCGTACGACAAGATGCTGTGAAAATAACTGTAGTAAACAAGTCTAGCAGTGTCGATGTCTGATAGCTGCCTAACCTTCCTAATTGCAAAAACAGCGGGGCTTAACCTATTCGCAAGAGATGATAGATGGGGACTCCATTGGAGAAAGCATTTAGTTTTTTTAGCATTTAACACCATATTATTAATGGTAAACCAGTGGAGGATACGCGAAAGTGCACTATTCACGTCGTCATAATTCGATACATTTCGGTCAACCTTAAAAATAAGCGATGTGTCGTCAGCAAACAGTACAACATAACATAACTCACTGGCATAAAAGGGGAGATCATTTATATATACTAAGAATAATAATGGGCCCAAGATTGATCCTTGTGGGACACCCATTTTCATGGGGGACCCTGCGGAATTTACATCATTTATAGATACTTTTTGAATTCTATTACTAAGGTAAGAGACAATGACATTGAGGGCGATGTTACGAATGCCATAATAATCAAGCTTTAGAAGGAGGGTTTTGTGATCCACGCAGTCGAAAGCTTTTGAAAGGTCGCAAAAAACACCTATTGCATCTTGCGACCCTTATCAGGCGTTATAAATATTTTTGACAAGTGCGATACACGCATCTGTTGTCGATCTGCCTTTAGTGAATCCATATTGCTCCTTGTGAAAAATTTTGTTCATATTAAAATGTACTAAGAGCTGATTTGAAATTAGTTTTTCAAAAATTTTACTCAGAGATGGTCTATATGGAGATAGGTCTGTAGTTTCCTGGATCATTTTTATCCCCACTTTTGAAGACGGGGATTATCTTACTAAATTTCATAAGATCTGGAAATATTCCAGAATCTATGCGGTTGTTAAAAATATTAGCTAAATGTGGTGCAATATATGGCATTATTGTGGTCATTAATTTTATGGACATGCCCCATAAATCCCCTGTATTCTTAAGATTAATAGAATTCAAAACTTTTATAATATCATAAGTATCTACGTGATTAAATTTAAATGTGTGGGGACAAAAGGTAACATTATTTCTTAGAACGTTAATTGCATCTATGGGAGATGATTTTAATGTACATGTGACATTAACTGCAATTTCTGAAAAATAGCTTTCAAAACTACTTGGAATTTCATTATCTGATGTTATGGGAGTATTACCTATAACCAGTTTTATAGGTTCCCTGAATATCTTGGGTCTTCCAGATATACGAGTAATGATGTCCCATGTGGCTTTAATTTTATTGTTTGAATTTATTATTCTATTTCTTATATGAATAGATTTTGCCTGAATACAGACTTTTTTAAATATTTTTGAGAACATTTGTACCCTTTTATGAAAGTTGGGGTCATGATTCCTCTGCCTCATATTATATAATTCATACAGTGAATCCCTACTTTTATATATACCCACTGTTGCCCAGTCACTAAATTTTAATTTTGAATTTTTAACAATTGTGCGCGATTTAAATGTATCATTATAAGAAGATATGAGAAAGTCAACCATTGATTTATAAGAATCATTAGGGTTATTGACTTCTATATCTTTATTTAACATATGATGTGCCACTTTGTCTTTAAAAGAATTTATTCTATTAGTAGTGACTGGTCTACACTTGATCTTATGTTTGCTTGTAATAACTTTTTCATTTATTGAAAATTTTAAACCAAAATGGTCAGAGCTCAGATAATTTATAACATATTTATCATATACATTATCGTGGCAGAAAAACGTTATCTATACATGTGGAGGATGAGTTAGTGACACGAGTTGGTTCATGAAAAAGATTATTAAGTTTAAATGAACTAAATAAATTTAAAAGTCGTTTACTAAGATGTGTCACTTGTAATAAATCCACATTAAAATCTCCACAAACTACTACTGATTTACTACTTGAACAGAGTTTTTTAAGTACATCATCCATTACACACTCAAACAGATCGAAATCACCTGAGGGGGGTCGATACACGCATACTATAATATACTGTTGACTCTCAACGCAGGATAATTCTATAGAACGTTCGACAGAGTGTGCTACTATATCCTGTCGATTTTTACAGACTATATCAGTTCTTACTAACACAAGAGAGCCACCGCGAATAGCATTTGCTCTTACGAATGAGGTTCGTGTAAAGGAGAAACGGACAAAAGTTATTATCGTTGATGTATTCCTTCTTTGTCCATAGGGCGAGCATGGGGTTCATATCCATATCTCATTGTTATTAAAATGATATATGGATTTTATAAAATAGCGATACAGTGCATATGGGAGCAAGCGGAAATGACTGTGTATATCGAGTTAAGAAATTAAATAAAAAATGAAAATTAAGATACAAATGCTCGGGTAAATTAAAGATGACAAATGAATTAACCCTGGGCTTCTGGTACACCCATATTCATCCTCTACCTTGGTACTGGTTTAATAATATAACAATTTAATAACTATAAGATTAATAGACCCAAAATCCTTACTTTTGTATCGCAGCATGTAGCCTCCTTTGATCTGTGTGCCGCCATGTTCTGAAACAATGAAAACGTATCAATTCGCGGCGACGGGGAACTATTGGATTACATTATTATCAGTGTTTCACGACAATGCCACTGATAACTTTGGGACTAAAATGTAATAAAAGAAGTCACAAAACATAATAAGATTCAAATAGTTTGATAACAAGTCAATTTTTTATCAGCAAAAAACAAAACTGACTTCAAATATCTCGCTCTGTATGCATTTTATAATTGATTTTCAGAAGTACCCTATGTACCTTCGGAGCCCAAGATCCAATACCAATGAAATTAATATGGGACCACATGGGAAGCACCAGCTTTCAAATAAAAAAAGAATCATCAAAATCGGTTCACTCAGAAAAAAGTTCAAACATAAAAAAAATATAGTCGAATTGAGAACCATTTTTAAAGTCGGTTGATAAAATAATACATAAAACTATTTTAGGGATTTCGTCGCGTTACATTTTGATTTTAAATTCGTGGAATATCGAACACTATAGCGTACATTCTCAAGAACGACAAAATTAGCGTCGTCTAAAAACAAGTTTTGATATCGATAGAGCCACGTCGAAACTTTTAAGCCGCAAAATTGGGAGCCTTTTCTTTTTTTTATGTGAAAAGTTTAGCAAGCGGGCAGGCGGTCCACCTGATGTTAAGTGATTACTGCCGCCCCTGGATATCAACATCTGAGGGGTAGAAAATGCGTTGCTGACCTTTATAATTGGGCCCCGGTTACCTCACCCACCAGACGTAACGCGAAAGTACAATAGTTCCTGTTCACGCCGGTCTTCTGTGAGGCCGTGGCACTTTCCCGGGTCAGCCTGCCCATTCATCAACCGCAGAAGCTACCACCACATCTAGCTACCACAGTAGCTGTCTAACTTTATACCGGCTTTTCGTATTAATGTTAAACTCTTTTTATTTTTTTCAGGTGACTAAGAGGTCATCCCTATAAATGGTTGACTTCGTACCCGGTTGTTGTAGATCCCAAGCATGATCATCTACAACATCATATCTTTAGTGCTTCCAGTTTTATGTAACACGTTCCGAAATAATAGTTAATTGAACTTTTTTTATTATAAATCCGTCATAAACTAAATAAATAATTTTAAATTATAATATGAACTGCATATAACCACGTGAAATGTTGGTATTTGAAAAGTCTACGTAAATAACTTTTTAATTATGAACAAGGAATAAAAGGAGAATAGACTGAAAATGAAAATTAATGATTTCCTGTGTTCAAGCGTTTAATACAATGTTAAATTAAAAAAAAAATCTTACGGTAACCTGATGTAAAAGTAAGTTAGTTTTTAAAATACATAATAAAATAAAAACTCTTATTTCCGTTAAAATAAAAACATTATTACAGTAACAAACACCTAATTATATACAAGCCGTTGAAATAGGATGAACATTGCTATTAACGAATGCTTCTGGAAAGTTCCCCTTCCTTCGACTCGTATTGCTTATTTTTCGCACGTGTTTTAGCGAACGCTTCTCTGGCGCCAATTTTTCCTGTTTATCGCGAAACAACGACCGTCACGTAAAACCCCTATCTGACGATCAAACAAACATCGAAATCGCTGAATTGAGCCACGCACCGCTTCCCTCCGCGAGATATATTTATCACGAATGCTTCTAAGTTCGTAAATAGCAAGTTCTTTTATAGCAAATCTATTGTTCAACCACAAAATTTCTAACTAAAGGTACAGACGTCGAAACGGAAGAGTCGTGGGGTATCTGAGAACGTGACTACAACAAACTCAAAAGCATGCAGCAGCAATAACTATCCTGTTTTTCACGTTCCAAACCACTATGTAACATTTTTTATGTTCAATAACACAGTTCCAATTCATGTTAATGCCTTGAAGGTCTTATTGACCGCTACGCGAAATGTACAGAACGCAGATAAGATGGCTTGTATTTGTGATGCATTATTTTAACAGACATGTTTGCTTAAATCAACGTGATTATATTCTGTTTTAACTCATCGTTTATTGGATATATAACATATTTGCAATTATAAAAATTCAATTGTCTTTGTTAAACTGCGTTCGTGATAGGAATGAATACTTACTTTATTTCTAAAAATATATGTATGATGTGTTATATAAGTGTTTATATTGACATGGATCTTATTTTAGTGAATTCTGATGATTCATTTCATTATATTTTAAAACGTATTTTATATATCCTATATAAAATATAAAATATAATCTAAAATTCTTGTATCACAGTTTTAATGTTTGTACTCCTCCGAAACGGCTAAACGTATTTTGATGAAATTTTATGTGTATATTCAGTAGGTATGAGAATAGGTTCGTAACTAATTGTATGCCCCTAAGGTTGTCCACCTCAAACATTTTTATCTACCCTACAAATAATTTATATAGCAAAATGTTTGCCAGGTCAGCTAGTACTCGTATATAATTATATAGGAACATGTAGTTCTATATGTAATTCTATCTGTGTGCACAAAGTAACATAAATCTGAAGATAAAATGTCTAAAAATGTTTCGCCACCGCCGCAAGATTTGAACCAGCGGCTTCCGAATAACGTGCCCAGACTTTCTAACCGCGTGAAAATCTATTATGTATATTTATCTAATCTATTCCGAAAAGGCTTCAGTACCATAGACCACATAAACACCTTGCGGCAGATTATACAGAAGACCGAAGAGTATAATCTGCCTTTGTGCCTAGCGTATGTGGACTATGAGAAAGCCTTCGATTCTGTCGAAATTTGGGCGGTACTCCAGGCTCTTCAGCGGTGCCAAATTGACTGTCGGTATATCGAGGTGCTGAGGTGTTTGTATAACAATGCTACGATGTCCGTCCAAGTACAGTCCAGTAGTACAAAACCTATCCAACTGCAGAAGGGTGTAAGACAGGGTGATGTCATATCCCCGAAACTCTTCACCGCTGCGTTGGAAGATATTTTCAAGGTTCTGGACTGGAAAGGACGAGGTATTAACATCAATGGCGAATACATCACCCACCTCCGATTTGCCGACGATATAGTCATTATGGCAGAATCGCTGGAGGACCTTAGTACTCAATGACCTCAACAGTGTCTCCCAACGGGTGGGCCTTAAGATGAACATGGACAAGACGAAGATCATGTCTAATGTCCATGTCACGCCAATACCGGTTGTTGTTGGGAGCACTGAGCTCGAAGTTGTTGACGAGTACATTTACCTAGGACAGTTAGTCCGGCTAGGTAAGTCCAACTTTGACGCAGAGGTCAATCGGCGAATCCAACTCGGATGGGCAGCGTTCGGGAAACTACGGCAAATCTTCTCGTCAAAATATACCTCAATGTTTGAAGACTAAAGTCTTCAATCAATGTGTGTTGCCAGTGATGACCTACGGAACCGAGACGTGGTCCTTCACTGCTGGCCGTATGAGGAAGCTCAAAGTCACTCAGCGAGCTATGGAGCGGGCTATGCTCGGTATTTCTCTGCGTGATAGAGTTCGTAACGAAAACATCCGCAGTAGAACTAAGGTGACCGACATAGCTCAGAGGATTAGCAAGCTGAAGTGGCGATGGGCCGGCCATATAGCTCGTAGAACCGATAACCGTGGGTGAAGAAAGGTTCTCGAGTGGCAGCCTCGTACTGGCCATCGCAGTGTGGGACGACCCCCCACTAGATGGAGTGACGACCTGTGCAAATGTGCGGGAAGTCGATGGATGCAGGTGGCTCAGGATCGTACTTCGTGGCAGTCTATGGGGGAGGCCTATGTTCAGCAGTTGACTCAAACAGGCTGAAATGATGATCTAATCTATTATACAGCTTGTCGTTACCATCGCGACAATAAATGAACACACATCTAACGCTACTTGACAATAATCATAAAAAAATATTAACGTTAAACAAAATCCATAATTAAAAAAATAATTTCAAACAAACTAATTAAGTAAAAAAGAAACAAAATTTGTAACATCCTATACAACTCGCGCCATAGCGTCGCATTACAAGCCTCTCCTTCTAACAGTATGTTTTGTCTCTTTTAAATTCATTCAACGCATTATATGCTTTGTGACCTTTACAAATTAACTTTACGTTATGCTTTTATAGGTGAGGGTGTTCTAAAATTCTTTGTTTTGGATAATTTAATAACTCTGTAAATATTGATGTTTAAAGAATTTAAATGTTTAATACAACTTTAAAAAGTTATTTCCTATATGTGTTCATTTATTGTCGCGATGGTAACGACACGCTGTATATCTAATATAAATATTATTGCATTTTTAGAAACACTTCACAAGCACTTTCTCAATTGACATTTTACAATCAATGTATGAAAAAGTTTTCGATGATTTATTTATTTTTAAGTTTTATCTTAGTTTTAGAGACCGGCACTAAAAATAAAAAATTAAACAGTAATACAAGTTAAGATACATCGCGGCGCTTATAAATTATTAGTATCATTAATTGTTCAGAAAATAATGTGAATTTTTTACTTATACTACGTTTTCACTTCTGAAGTTGTAGAAGGTGTAAAATTCTTTTTTTAGACGAGGGTTTTAGTGAATAGTCCACCACGTGTGCAGTGTTGCAACTTTTCATTTTTCACCGCCACAGGAATAATCCGAAAGACTTTTCATTACCTTTTTTCTAAAAATTTTAATGTTTCATCTTTACTGATTAGCATTTTAATTTAGATTATTCAATAAATTTCGGCAAATCACCTCATTCCCCTCATTCCCATGAATGTTGAAAACACTCAAAACGTCAAGATTTCAGGTAGTTATTAAAGTCATTGAGGAAGTTTGCCCTTGCTTGAAATGATTAGATTGTTTTAGCAAGTTCAACTTGTACTTTATACGGTTAAAAAGCTATTAAAAGTTTTTATATTTTATACTAGCTGCGCCCGCGAATTCGTTCGCGTGGAATTTAAAATAAAAAAAATCTAAAATAAAAGTAGCCTATGTTACTCCTTACTACATCAGCTATCTGTCAGTGAAAGTCACGTTGAAATGCGTCCAGCGGTTTCAGAGATTAGCC